TCAAAAAGGTGCGTGAAAAAAAAATACGGCCCACTCTTCTCGGCGGGCCCAAAAAGGTGTGAAGAAAAAAACGCAGCAGGTAGTTAGCACTGGGGGCTGGCAGGACCATGCAAGCGGCTGCAAGTCTTGAAACTGAGGGACGGGTTGCAACAATCGATCGCCTTTCGCCTCCCGTGCCTTGGACGACGCCCCCAATCACCGAATGTCGAAATGGCCGTTGCCGATGTGTTGCGCATCGAGGTTGTCGCGAACGGCTTCCTCCTTATGGCACGGGTTTTGACCGCGGTCTGACCGCGGTGGATGCCACGGTCGTGTCGCCCCTTACGCGGCTTGGTGAGGCCCACCTACGCGCCGAACTTGTCCAAACCCAAGTATCCTCCCAATCGCAACGCAGCCTGCCATTAGCAATTAAAGCCTCACTGCCTCCTTTTGCTAGCCGTCTCGTGTGAGCGGCGTGCGCTGCACCTGGCAGCCTGCTTGTAGTCTGTGGCCTACCTGCCCTTGGGCCTGCACTGGGACCGCGCTGCTCGTTGGACGGTGAAAAAGGTGTGTGAGAAATAAAGAAAAAACGAAAATGTGTGCCGCCTCGACTTCGTTGCGTACGGGGCTACCCCACTCGGCGAGGCCTTGTGCTGCGACGTCACGCTGGTGTCCCCGCTGACACGGGACGGGCGCCCGCAGCCTTCTGCTGCGACGCGCGACGGCGCCGTGATCGCTGTCGCTGAGAGGCGCAAGCGTGCAGCGTACCCCGAGCTGCTGCGTCCTGGACCCCAGCGGCTCTGCGTCCTTGCGTGCGAGGCTGGTGGGCGCTGGAGCGCCGCATCGCTCCGCGTCGTCTCCCAGCTCGTGCGGCTCCGAGCCCAGCGCGCTCCTGCCGCCCTGCGCGGCGCCGCTACTCAGGGTTGGCTGCGCCGCTGGTGGTGCCTGCTCAGCGTTGCTTTGCAAAGTACCCTTGCTGCAACGCTGCGTGGCACGCCATACGTTGAAAAAAATCAAACATTATGCGTCACATTGAACGGTGCGGCTCGCAGTACGGTCTTTCCTTCAACTGGAACTGGCGGGAATCTCTTGTGCTCGGGAGCGAGGTCGGCGGACGGTGGAATGCCGGTGCGCACCAGCTGCTCCGCGACCTCGTCCGTGTCCTGCCCAGCGAGCCCCGCCAGCAGTGCGCGGCGCCACTTCGTCGGCATGGGCCAGGCGTTGGTGGGCAATATTGGCAGTGTCGGTACAACAGGCCGTCACGAGCACGACTCTCGGGTCAGCTTGGCCGGCGCCTCCCCACGCGAGCCGACAGTCGGCTCCAGAGTTGGAACGCGTGCTCGACCTTGCTGACACAGCAGGGCCGAGCATGCCGTTACGCGGTCCTTAGAAAAGTCATGTGGTAGGACCCGGAAGCTGCGCCGAAGCGCGCAGCAGGCACTTGAGACTCATGCCACGGAAAAAGGTCCGTTGAAAACAAAGGTAGAGATTTTGCCCATCAGCTGTGAACCACACATCCCGAAACCCCGCCCGCATTCGGGAATCCATGGTTGATTTGGGTGCCTGCTACATTGAAGTAGTTCATGCTCGAGCTTGTGCTGGAAATAAACCAAGCCCTAAACACACAAAAAAAAGCAACCTGCAAACACAGAAAAATCGTGACAAAAAACGTGAGTCAGGAAAGCAACTCAAAAAAAAGGCGACACCAAAGGCACCAAAAAGGCGAAAGCTTGGGGCTTGGGTCCCTGGGTGCCCAGGGATACTTCATTATGCCCAGTGGGATCTAGTTCCTCCGTCGCGCTGGCCCCCTTCCGCGCCCGCCCTCACCCTGCCCTTTCGCGCCCCGCGTCCAAGCCTTTTCCGCGGCTGTCTGGAAGAGACGGCTGAGGAGTGAGTTCACACTTGCCTGGCTTCGAGGGTTTGTGGTAACGCGGAATTGATTTTTTTTGATCTACGCGGGCGGCGCAACGGTAAGGGACGCGGGACACCTTACGGCAGGCGGAAAACAACCCAATCTTCAGCCAAGCACATCCAGCTCGATCTCATGCTTCACGAAGCCCCACTCGGCAAATTGTCACCGTGCTGTAGCCTGTACACATGTCTGAACGTGATGCGCACCTCTTTTTGGACGGACATGCACAAGTAGCTCATGTGAGAATGCAGCAGCTTTAGCAGAGCAAGAGGGAAAACACACATCGCGGCATGGGATGGTATGATATGTGGAATGTAATGGAGACCATAGATGTCGGTGGTTTAGGTTTGTCATCGCAACATATCGCACCGAGAAAAATGTGACCGGAACTGTGGGCTTGATGTGTTGCAGGCATGAGCTCAAAGCATGCCCCTGATTGCGTGCTAGAGAGTTGTACCGTCCAGAAAATCCCAAAATGGGAGATCGCGGAGGCCTCATGTCCTGTGCTGTCCGCGCCGAAACTCACAGCTGGACGTGCAGTTTCACTGCGTCAGGAAGCCGCAGCCGCGACCGTGACACCAAACGCAAGGCGGACTTTGCAGATTTTGGTTTCTAATGCACGAAACCCGATTGGACCATTAACTGTGGAGGACAGTCGGAGTCGTTCACGCAAGAAGGACAGCCGAAGCCGGAGCCGGAGCAACGCAGAGGCCTGGAATCTCCACACAGTTTCCACGCAAGCGGTACCGTCAATCCGTGAACCAGCCCGTAGCACAGGCGAGGCCCAAGCGACCAGATGATTATGGCGCCTGCACCTTACCGATCGACTGCCCATGTGTTCTGTAACCAGGAAATCGAGATGTACTAGAGTTTGTTTCAGGTGGACACCATGAAAATCACTGATGATGATGCCGCGTTCATCTTGGGCAAAGGTGGCAAAACCAAGGCGGTCACGTGAAGAGAGATAGACGCTGAAGCTGAGATGCACACGGAAAACCAGTCATTAAATGCTGCAGGAGAAGATTGCGAGAGTTTCCGGCGCAGAAATAGACTCTCGGCCAAAGCATTCCCGTCTTGCTCCAGTCGGTCTGACGGAGCTTAGCAGTCCGGAGCTTTCCACAGGAGCTCTTCGAGCGAGACTTGGTCTTGGAGATCCGTGGGTCCAAGAAGGAGCGTCGTCGAGCAAAGAAATATGCCGAAGGCCGGTCATGCCCGCAGCCTTCGTTGACGTTCTCTTCCCGGTTGGATTGTCGCAGGTGTCATGGCACAGCGGACGGGGTGCATCCCTCATAGCTGTCGCAGCAGCAAAGGTTTTTAAGGCATGCAGTGCGACATGTTTGAAAGATGGGGAGAAGGCAGTTTGGGTAGCGCGAGACAGAGAGAAGCCCCTCTGGACTTCACACCTTCCAAAGGAGAGAGCGAAGACCGGCAACACAGCACAGCATGTCACCGAGGCCGGTAACAGTGAACGAGGACTATGACGACGGAGATTTGACAATGCTGCGTGCATTCTCGGCTGTTTTGATTTGTTATGTGTAGGGACTGGGCATGATTGCGCCATTGTGCTGTCGCACATCTACACGATAGCGGTGTTACACGACATGGGAAAGTGCCAGGTTCCACAAGAGGCCGTGGGCTTCGTCACTGGACGAGATACTTGGCCGCAGCCAAGCCAGTACCGAAGTCTGTAATTGTGTAAGCAGGGCTGTCCCCACATCAGGCAGGCAATTTCCTTCGCACCATCGAGGAGGAGTGGGGAACATTGATGTGGGAAGCCCACTTGTGCCACAGGATTCGTTGACAGGTGTGTATGCGGCTCACTGAAATGCTTCAGGTTTTTCGTCGAAGTGGAAAGCTCACGCTCCCGGAGCAAGGACTGCCTCCCGGTCACCCCAACGAACAAGCAAACTCCCTCCACCACGTTCTGGTTGCTCTACTTACAAGAGTAATGAAGTTCGATTTGCCACAGGGCCGGCCGGGTTCACTTCCCTGCCAGGAGTACGAAAAACTCGCAATTTTCGGAAACGTGAAAGCACGTCGCGGGGCCGAGCTGAAGGCTCGACTTGGGCTGGGCAGCGCTAGACAGCTACAGTAGATAGATAGATAGGTAGGTAGATAGATAGATAGGTAGATGGGTAGACGGGTAGATAGGGTTACAGGTAGACTATGGAATTGGCGGATAGGTAGATGGACTGATGGGTAGATAGATAAATAGATAGATGACATACATAGAACCTTGGAGCTCAGGGCCCAGCTTCTTTTCTTTCAATTTGGGTGCAGGGTTTGGATTTGTAGAGCGTTGATATTTCGAGACGCTCGAGAGCTTAGCTTAGGTTTCGCGCCTTTCAAGAGGTGCTGGCCAGGCTTTCTGGTCTTGCAGGCTTGGGTTTAACCTCGGCAGATCTCCTTGCTTGCTGAAGGTTAACACGGGATGTTTTTGGGGCGGCGCTTGTAAGCCATGCGTTTCTGCACACTTTGGCTGCGGGGTGGGGATGGGGGGATGATGACGACATGACAGTGTGATCCTGCTGATGATGATGATGATGATGAGCATGCGTAAACTCCTAAACCGTCAACCTTAGCCTTAGCCCACACTCTGTAAACCCACCGCCCCATAGCGGCTCTGGCCGAAATCCTCAACCCTGCAGTCGCCAGACCGCAGCAAGCTTCAAGCCGAAAGTGTGCAGTGGCCTGAATCAAGTGGTGCAGTCTGGTGCAGCCTACCCGTAAAGCGCACATCACACCTGTAAGCACTAATCATACAAGGCAGATCGAATGACCAGTCGGATTTTTACAGGTTTTTGTTGCGAGAGTCAATGATCGAAGCCTTTGTATTGCGAGTTATATTTCCCCTATGGTTTGCAACCCTGACTGAACACCTGCCACCCTAAGCAAGGTGCCCCCCCAAAACGACGGGCTACAATGGGCTTCCAAGGATTTTTGAAAGACGTTATAGGATTCTATAAGGGCCTAACGTACAAGGAGCCCCTGGAATGGCTACTATACTTCCTATGTTTTAAGCTAGTCTGCCTGAACACATCAAGCCTAAAACCATGAGCCTTCAACCCTTAACCTATAAGCTCCAAGCATCAATCTGAATCTGTAAGCTGTAAATCCTGTGAACACAAATAGCCTAGTTGAGAAGCGTCGCAGTATGGATTGGTGCTAGTTTTCCAGCTTTGGGAAAACCCAGAAACAGCAAACGTCGTTTCCGTACCTGGCAGGCACATCATCACAACAGACTTTTCGCAATGGCTCATGGCCAAGACGGCCTCTGCCCGGAAAACTTGGATTCCCTGGCCCTAGCAGCTGTACACAATCGAGTTTCATGGTCGCCAAAAGGCAGCCCGCGAAAAGTTGGCTGCCCTGAAACTCACAACTTGACTCTTCGGCGCCGTGCCGTACGTTTCCTCATGATTCTGACCTTGACACATATCGAACAGTTCAAAAATTGAACACCCGCGGCCAACGGCCAAAAACAGCAAATAAAAACAAAAAGCATGCACAACCGCACCAGAAGCGATACTTTCCGAATAATCGCGAGAGGCACCGGTGCTTTCGGCCTCCCTCAGCTGCACTTTCAAAAATAGCATAAGAGTTTGCAAGTATTCCGACTGGCAATGCAAGAGGCCAAAAACATACAATGTTTGTTCTCCCTCTAGGTCTCTCACATTCGAGGCTTCACGCCTGCCCTGTGAAATGTGTCTAAACACTTGGCGTGGTACATGTGCCGTTGCCACGTCTTCGCCTTGTTCTTCCTTTGGAGGTCCTCAGCGCAGTGGAGACAAAGGTCCCCGGCTACTTCGACAAAATACGCGAGGACGTGGCTCGTCCGCAATCCGCCGCAAGACTTGTGAATACATTCGTGCAATTGCTGTACCTTGGCATGCCTTGACCCAAAACAAGCTCAATTGGTGGCAGGTGGTGCCTCGAGATCGAGGTGCTGACCACGGAGACGGTTCTTGGGGCACGGCTCTTCATTTGCAGTTGGTGCTGGTGCTCTCTCAGGACGAAGCTCTGCCCATGATGCCATTCGCCTGCTAAGGACACGATGACTTTTCAGGATGACGAGCTGTCGTATGCTTTGGGGAAGCAGGTGGGCAGTGGCCATCAATCGTTCGTTTAGGGGTGCGACTTGGACCGGCAATTTGCAAGGGCGGCACCCGAAAGAAGATCGAGAGATCTTCCGGCGCCATTGTGCAGTATGTGGGGCAGGCAAGCTCATGCGGCCTCCCGCCTCTCGCCGCTCCCTGGGTTGCAGGTGTATACAGACACAACTGATCCAACTGTCTCAGACCGCATCGAAGCCGGCAGCCGGCCTGCTGAAGGTCAAGCATAAGGGACCTCGGAGCCTCGCTCCTCTGGAGGCTTTTCCCTAACTCCCCCTTGAGTCTGCTTGGTTTCTGTTTGTCGGGAAGATGTAGTCTGCCATGGTCAAGTGCACGGCCTTTGTGCATAATGGCTTTGGCCATAGCGGCCGAGGACGCCTGCAGGTGATTTGCTGGCTGTGGCTCTGGTCCTGCATGCTCTGCATGCTTATGGACGTCTGCAAGAGCCGGGTTTTTGCCGTGCAGCACCCATTGCTGGAACCTCCCGAGATTAAAGATGTCGCAGCGGCAGCTTCCGAATGCAACGCCCAAGAGTTCTTAGCACGGGTCCGGAAGATACCTCTCGCGAACCAGAGATCCAGCATGGAAGTGGCCTTGAATCAGAGCGGTTTAGACGAAGGCCGGATCTCCCTCTTCCTTCTGAGTTGCTTGGAAGTTGCGGCCAAGGACAAAGCTTTCGGAAACGAGGGAAAGCTGACTGGTATGGTGTGCAGCTTATGTAGCGACGGCGACGGCCGCCCGGAAGAGGACCCGACAGTACGGCAGCGAGCCCTTGCGGTTTCCTTGCAACTCTGGAGGCACAACGCCAGCCAGTTCACAGCCTTGCGGGTTCTGCAGCAATGGTGCATCGACGAGACGGATGCAACAAGCCAGCAGTTGGAAGCCATTCAAAGGATGTCCGAGGATTTGTTGGCGAATAACAATTGGCGACTCCTTCAACTGTTTTTGAAGGCATTCCCCAGGTTTGCTCCAGAACATGCGGACAGGATTGATGAGGCCATCAAAAAGATGTGCGAGGAGGGAAGCTTCAAAGCCGCAATCCAAGTTGCGAAGTGTGCTTTGTGGCCGAATTCTCGGATTGGCCGGCTGTACCAACAGCTGCAATTCCATCAGATCAAGACTGGCGCGAGATCCGAGCAAGGCAAGGAACTCGCTTCGATCGCTGCCTGCGGAAAAGACCAAGGCCGACAAAGGCTCTTCGTGAAGGAGCTCTTCAAAGCAGGGAAACTCGAGCTGGCTTCCGAGCGCATCAGCGCGTGGAGCCTCGAAGGCCTGCGGCCAACGTCCTCGCAGAAGCGGAAGGGTGCCAAGCGTGCTCGGAATTTCTACCGGCTGCCGGCCCATTTAATGGTCCGCACAGTGAGCTTGAAAGATGAAGTGGAGGAGGGTGTGTCAGTGTTGCAGCAGGCGCAGTGCATCGGCTTCGACACAGAGTCTCTGCAGCGGGGACAGCCTTGCTTACTTCAAGTTGCATCAAACAAGCACGCGCTGTTGATCGATTTGCTCGCACTTCAGTCCGACTCTGCCGCATCTGTGGCATCTCAGTTGATTAACAGGGCCTCCATTTCCGTGGGCCCTGTGCTGCAATTCTGATCAATTCTGACCTTCGTTTCTGACCTTAGGCAAGGCTCTTTTCCAATCCGGACATCGTTAAGCTCAGCTTTGCCGGCAGCTTGGATGGAGTTGGAGAACTGGACGAAAAAATACTGGCAGGTTCGCAGCCATCAACCTTTCCTCGTGAAAGGATGTAGCCCGCACACCTTCTTGGGTAGCTCAGCACGGCCACCTAGGTCGGCAAGATCTGAGGCAGTTGTCCACTGTTCTGGGGGTCGAAGCCAAGTCCGTGACACCTTTCTTTGACTTGAAGCATTTGGGAGCGCTGTGACTCGCCTCGCTTATCACCCCCCTTGCTGGGACATAATGTTTAGGTTAAATGGAACCGGTGCAAGATAAGGGACTCACGCGTCACAGCTGCTGTGCGTGTTGCTGTGTCCTCGCTCAGAGCCATGGAGAGGAAAGGCACACGTTCCGCGGCACAGGTTGAAGTGGCAAGCGATTGGGGGGCCGTTTCCTGAGCCCGGACTTCTCTAAGGTACCGCATGAACCAATCCGATATCGACTTCAACGAGGTCCGCTTCTCGGGTTCAACATGCAGTTTTTCCCGGACCTAGCCTGCATAGCAGCTTTCCAGCCGATAGCTTTGCACCCTTCGCCATGGCATGAGTGTGGACAAATTGCAGTTTTCGTCTAGTAACTAGCATAGAGCAAGCCCAGTCGAATGTTGGACAAGCTGCATCCAGTGACTGGTGCGAAGTACACCGCAACTCGTGCCCGCCCACACCCTTGCTGCATTAGCATCCCCTGAAGAAAGGCCCTCGACGGCCTCGGGCTCTCCTCACTGGCTGAGGAGGTCTTGGGCAAGCCTCTGAACAAGGCCGCAAGTTCGGAAAGCGCAGGGCATGTTAGAGCAAGTGCAGGGCAGACAAGGCAAGGCAGCAGAAAGAGTTGTAATACAACCATGGGACCTGAACGCACACAAAGCTTTCCCTACGGAATGAGTTAGTCCGAATGTTGCGCTAAGCAGAAGGAGATGCGCGCAAGCGACTGGTCCAGAAGGCCTTTGCTGCCTGCACAGCAGCAGTACGCGGCCGTGGATGCCTGGATTCTGCTGCGGTGTCCTGCGCTGTCAAAGGATAGGAGACAGGAGAGGGGTAGAAGTAAAGTGGTCTGGAAACCACTGGGCAGGGAAGCACCCAGCTGAAATATCCGGAATGTAGAAATACTTAATGAGTCATAAACTACATGGTGGAGGTGTCTTCGCAACTCAGGCTTTGGCAGCGACTGAAGCACTTCGCGGAGTAGGACAAGCCATGGCTGCTGGGCACAACGGACATTTTCGACCATGGCTTCATCCCTTCATTCTGTCGCCGCGAGCACTTGTGCAAGAAGTCCAACATGCGGCGGGACAAACACCACTCGAGGTATCATGAGGAAGGGCCTGTGTGCGCATGCTTGCACGTGGTGCTCGAGGCCAGATGAAAAAAAGGATTGTCGAACGGCATGGGATTTCTGAGCATTGAGGACGAAGTGATATTCAGGATTGTCGGGTTCAAGTTCCCCCTTGGCATGCGTGCGTGTTCGATTCTGGAAGCCGTCTTAGAGTCTGTCGGGTAGTCAGAGTCACTACCTGCAAGGACCCCCGCCGAGGCATTTCCAAAAACCCGCAGGGAAACAGACCCGAGACCCAAGACATCTCCAACACGAACCTCAAGAATGCAGGAAGTCCTATCACTCAGATGTCCGAGTTGCGTTTTCTCTTGATTGACTGATGGCGCTGCCTCTCCTCTTGATTGCTCTTCTATGTAGTGCTGGCAGCGAGGACTGTGGATCAGAGGAGTGTGTGCTGGAGGTGTTGCAGCCGACTCACACATGTGGCGAGTGGTGCAAGGGAGCCGAGTCGGCAACGTGCACGATAAACCAAAGCCTGATGCCATGCCGGGGCTCTTTCTGTGAAACCAGCTGTTTGCGATGGTCTCGATCAGTCCTGGCTGATCTTCGGACATTGAAGGTCACGTGCAGAGAGTTTTCCGACTTTGCATCATACCCTCGAGGCGCTTCGATTTGCAAGGAGGAGTGTCTTCTTCCAGAGATTCGACCCGAGCGGTATCCGCTTCCCACTGGTGTGGGTTTGCTTTGCAGGCCTGACTCTTGCGATCCAGCCGTGCAGCAAAGATACGGGAGTGTAGCCTGGGCCAAGACGCCTGGGGTGGTTGAGCTCGAGTGCCCTTGCAATTGGTTCGGGTCCGACTGCCAAGACGATTGGGTGCCCGTTCTTCGAGTCGAGAAACAGGCGTTGGGAGCCTTTCAGTTGCTCCATTTGCACGTGGAGCCGCATCTTTGGCATCGCCTCATGAAGGACAGAGTTCCGAAGGTTGAACCGCATGCCTGGCATGCCTCATCCGCATCCTCTCCTCGAGATGTATTAAAATCTCTTCTCGCCGAGATCAGTGCACAGGGACGCTGGACACCATGACGAGCAAACACGGGACACCTACAAACGGTAGACGGGGAGACCCATTGGGACAGCTTAAACACCGAGACACCAGGACGCCCGGACAACGAGCCACTGGGACACGCTCACGAGCTGCTTTGAATGTAAAGTCGTCGAGAAGCGCTGCTGCAGCTGCACATAAGCACGATATCTCTCCAGGTTAGTCAGTCATGAAGTCCAAGCAGAGTTCAGAGAGTAGGAAGCTGCTTGCTAGATTCGAGAAGGATGGTAAGGCCACGCCCAGGTGACGAAGGCTGCTGTAATCAAAGGTAAGGCTGTGCAGTATCGGTCGGTATTTATATGTTTGTAGCCGACACTGCTTGGACTGTTACGTTCCCGAAAGACCAAAAACTGCTGTGAGAGGATTACCGGCCCGGCAGTATCGTCAGACTGCAGAGTTTGGATGCGAATGGTGTCGCCCGGGAGCAGCCCTATGCTCTCGGCTTTGGCAGCGACGGCGCCGAGGGTAGCCTCGAGATTCTGACTGGGCCCCCACCAGAAGGCCTGAACAGCGTGGTTGTGGAGGTAGCGCACGCCGTCCGACAACTCACGCCGGGACCGGTTCAGGGGCTCTTCGTGAACCCCGCGATCGCCGGTTTCTTCAATGGCCACTACCGCTTCCTTTTTGAGTCTCTGGCCTCCACGCCCGAGGTGCGTCGCGTGGTGCTGGTGTCCTCCGGCGTGGGCTTATCTGGCGTGAAGGCTGCACTCTTGCAGTTGCTGGGAAAGCCGATGGACCGGCCTCTAGAGATCCACCTCTTCTATGGGCTTCGGGGCATCATGGATTTGCCTTACAAGGTGCCGAAGTTCCAAGAAGCTGCTTGAATTTGTGCGAAAGATGGTGTTGCGAAGGAGCAGCTGGAATCTTGGGTTCTGGCGGGCCACCTCAACCTCACGCTGCTGGTTTCAGGCCTTGTGAAGTGCATCGGATTGACTCCTTGGTACTGCGACTTTCTCTTCGCTTCCTTGGTGAGATCCTTTGAGGTCAGCGCCAGGGTGTCGAAGGCGTTCTCCAAGACGCAGTATCCCGGCGAAGTTAGCATCTGGCAGAAGATGCCTGCTGCAGACACCTGGCTCAGGTGGAGAGAGGTGTGGCAATGACGAAGATGTTGGTGGCCTGCCTGATTGTAGGTGGTGGTAGGCCACTGGCTCGAATTGATTTTCCTGTCGCTTTTGGGCACAGGCTTCAAACGCTGATGCGCTTCCGGCGCGCCTTAGACAGCTGCTGCCGTTCCTTCGCCGCAGCCAGTCTTCTGCAAAGGCGGCGACTCGTCAGCGGGCCCTGAGGTCAGGAAGGCTGTATCCCCAACAAGCACTGGCGATAGAACTTGCGGCAGGCGGGTGCGAAAGCACCCATGGGTTCTTCGCTTGCTCGGACGGATGTAATTTGTTGTAGCTGCTACTGAGAGAGGATCTCTTCGCTCGGCGTCGCAACTTTTTTTGCAGCTTCGGGATTCGTTTGGCAGGCCGGTAGGCAGGGTGCAACTTACCTGAGGCTCCGAGACACCGCCGTTGTGATCTGTGGACGCTATGAGTTGCTGCGGGACACGCCGACAGCCTTGCAGGCGGTTAGAGTCGGTTGGGCTTGAAGTGTTTCTGTACGAGTCTGAGACGCGCATTCCATGGAGAGGCAGTGTGTCGGATGGACGAGGCCGCTTTTATGAAAGAGCAAGACGTCCTATTCCAAAACTGGGTGTGCCATCGGAGGCGTCCTGCGCCGCCCTTGCCAAGGCACGCGTAATTTGCCCGCTTTGTGACATGGCGAGAGAGGCAGAGGCTCTGAAGCATCGGCCTCGCGGCGCTGCCCTGGGCAGGAGCGCATCTTCACCAACATCTAGAGCTGTCCATTCCGTGGCTTGAGCCTCTAGGAGGTGGTGGTGTGGTGAGGCATCATGTCACTTGGAAGCTGCGCTTCCTCGTCCACACTTCCGGTCATTCCGGTCCGACAGATGGGCCCCAAGCCGACTTCGAAGAACCGTGCACGGAAAAGCTTGAGCGCCAAGAGCTGAAGTCTTAACATGTACACCGCCGCACGAATGAAGCTTCTCGCACGCAGAATGCACTATTTTCCGGCTGCAAAGCAGAGCGCAAGCGGGCCAAGGACCGATTTGCCAAGGCGCTTGTTCAGGAGTCCTTGGATTGATCACCTGGACCAGGAGTACATGAAGTGGCTCTTTGACCAGCTGGAAGGTCCAGTCTATGCCGTGCCCTGAGCAGGCATAAGAAGCAGCTAACAGCGCACCGTATAGGGCATTCAAGCACCGACGCGTTGCCCCTGAAATTAATGAGGTTCACGGATGGGAAGACCGCGACGACATCACCGTTGTGGCGGCGTCCCGATTTTTCTTCCCCCCTCTATGTTCGTATTCGCGCTAGCTGCCGGAATTCTCTCCCAAGGACGTGCCACAGGACTGCATCGGATACGTTACGGGCAACCGACGAGCTGCCTTGGGCGGCATCGAGGAGGACTATTGCCTGAAAGGGGGGTCCAAAGCTCGGTTACAGGTTTGCGTCGGGTGGTTTGCTCTTGGAGTTCCTCCTCGAGCATTTTTCGTTGAGGCTTCAGGTTTGTATGTGCGCAGGTTCACCGAAATTGAAGTTCCAACAGTTTTTGCGGCAACGTTTTCAGGAGTGGGGCACCTTGATGTTCTTCATGAACAAGGCACGGGCTCATTCAGGAGACTTTTCAAGCTCTCGCTTTGCCTGTAGACCCCTGGAGGATGGCGGTAGCACCAAAGGTCGAGGCGCCCACGGGAATATGCTCACGGCTTGTAGAGCGTTAAAATTTTCGGAGCAACTACACGTTTCCATTCCACATGACATGACAGTTATTACAGTGGGTTTCTGGAAGCACAATATCGCCACCACTGACGATCGGTTACTATAGTTGTGTGTGTCGCTCTGTCTCTGTCTCTCTATCTGTCTTTGCCTTTCCATCTGCTCATCCCTATCTTCCCCGACATCTATGTGTGCATAGCGAGATCTTCGAGTGTCCGTCTTTGTGCTTGTCTGCATGTATATGTGTATGTCTGTATGTATGTATGCATGTATGTAAGTGCGTCAGAATAATTGTGAGAGAGAGAGAGAGAGAAAAAAACAGAGAGAGAGAGAGAGAGAGTTATAGAGAGAGAGAGAGAGGGCCAGCATGTCCCGTGATCCATGTCTGTGTCGCCTGCATTTGAACCGTCGCGAACTCCCGGGAAACTTGAAGCATAGTTAACTAGGACTCTTGATTTATGTTTATTTCGATTTGTGCAACGTCCCAGGGGAACGAGGCGGTGTTGCCGTACTGAGCTTCTGTCGAAGTCCTTTTCGCCATGATGTGAAGCCGTGTACGGAGGACCCACGGTTGATGAGATAAATCCTTCATTACCCACAATGTGGAATATACCATAATTCCCATAGTTTAGGGTCCTTAAGGTAATGCAGGATTTATATCATCAACACTAGGAGTGTATGTTGTGTGGGCATGTACGGGTGGACTGTACTTGTCAGGTAACTATGATCCTGAACATGGCACTCAACATGGCAAACCGTGGAAGAAATGCTTGCCATGGATACTCAACAACACGTGCCTTGCAGATTTTTCTTTATATTGGTTGAGTTCAGATTGATATCCAGGAATGAAGCCAGGCATGTGAAACCAAATTAGTGCAGGCGTCCAACCAACACAGGAGAACATTCAGTCGGGAGCCATGTATCAACATACATGTCGATACTAAATGTGAACCTGTGTCATATTTTCTCACTTTCTCCTCAAAGCCCCGTAACAAATAGGGGGCCATGTGAGCAGGTGAGGGTCGCTCCCTCACCTGTTACCCTTGCGAAAAACAAGATGCCCACACAGCATTCAGCATTGGTGGGCGTCTCGGCGTTCCCATTTGGAGAGAGAGAGAGAGAGGTCAGAGTCTGTTCTACACACATGCTAGCCCTTTAGGGACGTCATCAGCGCTGTGCCCTTGTTTCGTACCGAAACATTGAGTAGGGGGAGACAAACACGTGCAGCCTCTATGCCCAGGCCCAGGCGCAACAATGGAGCCCACTGTACTTGCCCTCCCAGTTAGAATTGTTTTATTGTCGCATTGTCCTTCCTCTCCTATAAAAGAACTGGGCCGGGCGAGCACACACAAAGGGGGAAAACCCCTGTCGAGCTCGGATGAGACACAGACATGCAGCCCAATTGCAACTTTTCTACGTACGGTACTCCTGTAGGTGCTGCTGTATCGCTGTGTCCTTGTTTTGCAACAGAAACATTGGGCTGCGAGTGTCAAAAACACATGAACGTCAGTCCCTGCTCAGTGAAGTTCCTTCTCTACACCTGTCAGCCCTTTAGGGAGGTCATCAGCGCTGTTTCTTTGCCCCACACCAAGACATTGAGCAGGGACGGACAAACACGTACAGTTTTCGTGCCCGGAACCAGTTGAGAACTTAGGTCTACTTATGTTAACCCATTCCTTGCTCGGGATTGTATCATGTTTGACTGTTGGGGCACGCAATTTCATCCTCGGGGGATGATCCTCCTTGCACCGCCTCCCCCTGCCCTCGACAGAGGCAAGTCCTGACTGGCAAAACCTTATGTGTTATTTCGACAGATGTATCGTTATAGGGAGTTGCCATGCAGACAGTCGCCCACAGCAGGGGGAACAATGTTCTGGAGAACATACATACTCCCTCACCCGCCATCGTATACTAGTTACTTAACGTCCTTGGGAGTATTATGTTCGTTCCTCACACCCCTATCCTGCATTAAAACAATGCGGGTGGGCCTGTGGCCCGGGGGTCTTGACCGACCCTCATGCCCGGGGGAGAGAGAGAGAGAGAGTTCAGAGCCTGATGGCCAATATGG